CATCCTTCTCTAAATTTTACCCCTGCATGGCCCACAAAAGGGTGAGTGAACTTGGCATAGCCACTTCCCTCTCGAAATTTTAGCCCTGCGTTGCCCACAAAAGGGTGAGTCAAGTTGGGGTGACCACTTCCTTCTCTAAATTTCACCCTGCCCACAAAAGGGTGAGTCAAGTTGAAATGGCAACATCCTTCTCTAAATTTTACCCCTGCATGGCCCACAAAAGGGTGAGTGAACTTGGCATAGCCACTTCCTTCTCGAAATTTCACCCTGCCCACAAAAGGGTGAGTCAAGTTGAAATGGCAACATCCTTCTCTAAATTTTACCCCTGCATGGCCCACAAAAGGGTGAGTGAACTTGGCATAGCCACTTCCTTCTCGAAATTTCACACTGCCCACAAAAGGACAAAAGGGTGAGTGAGTGAGTGAGAGTGAGTGAGTGAGAGTGAGTGAGTGAGAGTGAGTGAGTGAGTGAGTGAGTGAGAGTGAGAGCGAGAGTGAGTTTGAAGCAGCGCATCCCCGTGTACAGACGAGGTATATCATTCGCGTGTACAGATGAGTCACTTTTCGCGTGTACAGCCGGCCTCCTACCTGGATCCCTTCTTTTCTTCCTTCCCTTCCCTTCCCTTCGACGAGGTGACCAGGGACCAAGGGGACCGGGGGACCAAGGGGACCAGAGGACCAAGGGGACCAGGGGACCAAGGGGACCAGGGGACCAAGGGGACCAGGGGACCAAGGGGACCAGGACGACCATGTGGACCAGGAGCAAGCATACAAGAGACGGGAAAGGAAAATAAGTATTTTTTGATTAGTTAATTAATTTGTTGTTGATTACGTAAATAATATTTTTTTGATTCAGTAATTAATTTCTTTTTGATACACATGCCCAAATAGGGTGGAAGCACAACCCAACCCAGTCGTTCTTGATTGAGCCAGAGACCATGCTTCATAAGTCGGATCATTCCCAAAGAACTTCCACCTTTGATCAAAAGGGTGCCTTGCTTTGATGCCAAGTGGCTCGTCCATTCGGTCCTTCACCTTGGTCAGACCGAGGCAATCGAAGCTGTTTCCGTGCTCGACGTGCTCATCAGACCACCCTGAAATGCCGATTTGGACTTCTTCTAGCAACAAGTGGCCTGCAACGAGATCCAGTGTAAGCCCTCAATGGAGACACTGGAGTCACTCAGTATGA